CTTAGGTAATTTTTTTAATATCCTGGTATTGAACGAGGTACACGAATTCGTGGTGAAAGCTGTGCAGCAGTATCCAGAGAATGCAGCCTTACAAATCTCGGCACTCACCTGTTTAGCGCTCCTCAGTAAGTAACTTGACTAAAAAGGAAATTCTCACCCCGTGCATTGAATGTGAAATATTAACACTATAGTGAGAGAATCATATGCAGATAAGGAAGCACAAAATGCCTTTTTTTTTGTCCCAATGGAATTTATTTTTCCAGTAGAGAATATTTTCAAGGGAGTAACATTTGTGACAAGTACACACACCTCAGTTCATGCAGGGTTTTGCATCGCAAAATTCTTGGTTTAGCTGTGTCAATCGCAGCCGATCTTTTCATATAAACTTCTCTAGTTTTTAAAAATTTTTTACTAATTTATTTATCTGTTTGTTTGTTTGTTTATTTTTGGAGACAGGGTTTTGTTTTCAATAGGTGTGCAAGGCTAGAGTGCAGTGGCATGATCATAGCTCTTTGTAACCTTAAATTCCTGGGCTCAAACCATCTTCCTCACCTCCTGGGTAGCTAGGACGAGAGGTGTCTGCTCCCTTGTCTGGCTCATTCCTCCTCTAGTCCTCAGGGTTTTTGTTTTTCTGTTTGTTTGTACCCTCTTCCCCATTATATCATTTCTCTACATAGGATAGTAGCATCATGGGGTACATAATACATTAAAAATGATCTTTATAACTAATCAAGGCTGCTACTAAAGAACGCTCCATCTGTTGATAACACTTCAAAATATGGACTTCTAGCGGGTTGTTAATCAGCAAATTATGTATATTTGTGTTACATATATTGATTTTATAATTTTTTTCAAGCTGAGACCATTTTCTTAAATCAAGACTTAGAGGAAAAGAATGAGAATCAGCAGAATGATGATGAAGAAGTAGAACAGAAGCTGTTCTGGCTGGACGCCTGTTACAAAGCTTTGACGGGGCACAGGAAGAATAAACACGTGCAGGTGGGACTCTCACCATTGCGAGTTATCAAAAATTACGGTTTCTAATAGTTTCTATTTTGACTGCTTTCTTTTTTTGTCCTCTCCTAACTCAGGAGGCTGCGTGCTGGGCCCTGAACAATCTCCTGATGTACCAAAATAGTTTACATGAGAAGATCGGAGATGAAGATGGCCAGTCAGTAGTTTTGATTTTATACGATAGAAAATTTCAGTTCTATTTTTAATCAATACCAATAAAATACTTTAACCATAACTTTTATTATTAGACGTATTATCGATACAGGCATTTGTGTTTTAAATTTGAGCCGGTGGTGAGGATACAGCATTTTGATCTCATTGCCTTCCATAGGCAAGGAAGGGAGTATGGTTGGGAGGTATTCCTGAGAGATTTGAAATCAAGAGTGGTTCAGTAATTTATGAATCATGGAGAAGGAATCTTTCCGTTTTCTGGCTGATCGTTTAGGAATGCCATATTAATTGATCTCAGGTGGTAGAAGTTGCAGAGCCATCTGTGACCTTCTCTATCACCTTGCCTGGCCAACAGGTTTTCAATATCAGGAATTAGATTTGTTTAGAAAGCTTCCTATGGTGAGTTCCAACCTGATGTCACAGGGTTGACCCGTCTTCTCTTGAGAGGGTTATTTGAAGTTGTTATCTCCTGAGGAGGCTTTCAACAGGAGTGCCATTCAAATATCATAAGACCCACACTCTCTTCCAGAGATACAAACTGTAATAGGAGTTTTGTGTATATCAGATTTGTTTCCTATCCATGAGCTTCTGTGCTCCATGGCAACGGCTTGTACTTGTGCTGTTTGCTCTGGGTTTTAAAATTTGGGAAACTCAAATAGTAACGTTTTACATCTGAAATTCCTGACAGCCTGTTTGTAT